TAATCCTCTCTCCCAGCTGCATGGGACCCCAGCCAGAAGTCCCTGCCAAGTTTCCCCATGCCGCCACCCCTGCTCACTGCTCGAGCAGCAGGAGCAGTGGGTGTGGCCAGATGCCAGTAACCTGAGGCAGAGGGGGGTGAGGTTTAATCCACCCTTCCTCCCCTCTCTCACTGGCACCAGCTGGGGTTAACCCCCCTTCCCCTTCTTCACCTCAGGCTACCACTGTCTAGCTATGCCCCCTACTCCAGCCACTTGAGTAGTGAAGGGCAGGGAGGGGAGAAGCCTGGAAAGGGCTGCTGCGCCCCTGCCGGGCAGACACTGACTGCAGTCCGGAGCAGGATTTCCCACCCCTTCTCAGCCAGCCAGAGCAGTGATGTGCTCTGGCTGGGGAGGAGAAGGCTGGGGCCAACTCTGCTCCACTGGAGCAAACAGCACAGCCCAGTCCAGGGCTGCAAAGCATCCTGGGATTCTGGGGGACTGTGAGTTGCCTTAAACCAGGTAGGGGTCTGGGACAGAAGTTCCATAACCGGTTGCATCTAAATCAGTTAAGTATGATACTACATTCAACCAGGTTTATCTTAAACCAGTTTTGGCCATTTTTAAAGTGGTTTATGCACACTAAAGTTCTGTTCTGTTACAAATTTAAGCCCGTTTCTGATCACTTAAACCAGTTTATGTGTAACTTCTGCCCCTAGCCTAAAGGAAGCTCATACTATTACTTAATTGCACCATACTTAGCCTCATGGTTATATATGCCTTCAATTTCCCCTATTGCTAGTTATGTACTATATGCAAACCAAACTGCTGTTAAAATAATATACTCAACTGTATAACCTCATTTAAAAATCAACTGAGTAAATGAAAGCTTCATGACAAAGTACATTAAAAATAAAAGCAAATTCAAAACTTCATCAGTATTTTTGAGCATATACTAAACAGAAACCTCAATTCTTATATACATTAAATAATGCCACGTGCAAAGGCCATGTCTGTGGCAGGATGCATGGGTCACCTGCTACTTTAAGAGGTGAAGCAGCCAGCGAGGCAGCCTGAAATTGGGGCCAGGGCTGATTGTGGGGTCGTCTGACCCAGAAGCCTGCAGGTGGGGGTAGAGCTGATTGAGGAGTCATCTGATCCAGGAGGAAGGTTGGGCTTAGAGTGGATATAAGCCCAGGTCCTGAGCAAAGATGACAGTAAAATCCTGGAGGCTGCTTAGAGAATACCATCTCAGCAGGGGGACTGCAGCTCCAGAAAGCTAGCATGGAGAGTACCACCTCAAGCAGTTTGGAGGTTTGGGAAGGAACTAAGGGGTGGAGAAGGTTCCTGGGAACCCAGGAAGGGGTCCGAAGCCCAGAAAGAGGGGCTGCATGTATGGGACCTATTGAGGGGTCCAAGGTGAGCCCCCAGAGAGAGGGGCTAAGCATAGGGGATGTAACAAGGAATTCAAAGCCCAGAGAGAAGGGCTGAGTATGGGACCTGATGAGGGGTCCAGAGCCCACAGAGGGGGACTGTGTTGCAGTGAGATCAAGTGAACATCAAACAGTGATAGTGCTGAGCTGGCAGTAAGATCTTTGAGGGGCCTGGAGGCATGCAGCCCAAGGGAGGGGCAAAGAGGGGCCAAGCCAGGAGACCTAGAGGTATGCAGCCCAGGAAGGGCGGGTCACATCAACAAGAGGCCAAGGAGCCTGTAGCCCAAGACGGGCAAGGACTACTAGAGCAGGATAGCCCAGAGGTTGTTTCATAGTTGTTTTGTAGTTGGTAGGGTCAGAAGAGACCTGAGCAGATCATGAAGTCTGACCCCCTGCCATGGGCAGAAAAGACTGCTGGGGTCAAATGACCTCAGCAAGGTGCTTATCTAGCCTCCTTCTGAAGACCCCCAGGATAGGAACAAAGTACCACTTCCCTTGGAAGTTGGTTCCAGATCCTAGCCACCCTGACTGTGAAGTAGTGCTTCCTGATGTCCAGCTTGAATCTACTCTCAGTCAACTTATGGCCATTATTCCTAGTTACTCCTGGTAGTGCTCAGAGGAACAGGGTCTCTCCCATTCCCCACTGGTCCCCTTTGGCCAGTTTGTAGAAAGCCACCAGGTCCCCTCTCAGCCTTCTCTTGTGAAGGCTGAACAGGTTCAGGTCCTGTAGCCTCTCCTCGTAGGGTCTGCCCTACTGCCCCCGATCATTTGAGTGGCCCTCCTTTGGACCCTCTCTATGCTGTCCGCATACCTCCTGAAGTACGGTGCCCAGAACTGCACACAGTACTCCAACTGTGGCCTGACCAATGTCGCATAGACATTTTCTGCCTCTATGCTGACGAGAATGGCGTTCCCCAGCCTATAGGTATGCTGCTGGTTCTTCCTCCCCAGGTGCAGTACCTTGCACTTGTCAGTACTGAAACCCATCCTATTCTCATCCGCCCACCCTTGTAACCTGTCCAGATCTAGCTGTAGCCTGTCCCTCTCTTCTAATGTGCCCACTTCTCCCCACATATTAGTGTCATCTGCAAACTTGAACAAGGTGCTTTTCACCCCCTCGTCCAAGTCGCTGATGAAAATGTTGAACAGTGCAGGCCCGAGAACCGAGCCCTGGGGAACCACACTGCCCACATCCCTCCAGGTCGAATACAACCCATCCACTACCACTCTCTGAGTGCAGCCCTCCACCCAATTTGCGACCCATCTGACTGCGTAGGCATCAACGCCACAGTTGCCTAATTTTTTGATGAGAATGGGGTGAGAGACAGTGTCGAAGGCCTTCCTAAAGTCCAGAAAGACTACGTTCACTGTGACACCTGCGTCGAAGTATTTTGTGACCTGGTCGTAGAAGGCCACAAGGTTGGCCTGAGAGAACCGGCCTCTAATGAACCATTTAGGGGCAATGAACCAGTGTTGGTTGCCCCTAAACATAATCTCCCCTGCTGGTCCCTCGCAGATGTGCTCCTGGATAATTTTCTCAAAGAGCTTCCCCAGGACCAAGGTAAGACTAACGGGCCTATAGTTTCCTGGGTCCACCTTCATCCCTTTATGAAAATGGGGACCACAATGGCCCTTTTCCAATCCTCTGTCACCTCTCCAGGGCACCACGAGTGCTTGTAGAGCTGTGCCAGGCATCTCGCAATGTCCTCTGCCAGTTCACTTAGCACCTTTGGGTGGAGATCATCTGGACCCGCCGATTTGAAGACATCCAGTCCCACCAGAAGTTCCCTGACCAGGTCCTCTCTGACCCCCTCCTGAGTTAGTCCAGGATTCTGATGGGAGGGATGTCCCGGTCCCTGTTCAGAAATATGGAGGCAAAGAATTTAAGATTGCCAAGCGTGCTCTGCAGGGGCCCCATGTTACCTGGTGCATTTTTTTTTACTCCCTATGTATTTAAAAAAGGACTTCTTGTTGTCTTTGATCCGGGTCGCTAGTTCCAGTTCTGTGTCCGCCTTAGCCTTCCTAACAGCCCCACTACAATCTTGAGCAATGGAGGTGTAATCCTCCTTGGTGATGGCCCCTCCCTTCCATCGGGTGTATGCCTCCTTTTTAGTTTTCAGACAATCCTGAATGCCTTTGGTGAGCCATGGGGGTTTTTGCATTGGGATTGTCGCCCTTTGGGCTCAGAGGATCACCTCCTCTTGGAACTTCCAACTCCCCTCCCCTCCGGGACCTCAGTGCCTCCCCAACTAATCCCCTTTATTCATTCAAAACAGCCCTACTGAAGTCCAGGGCTGCTGCATTGCTGTAGGCCTTTGACACCCTGCGCTGCATGGTGAATTCCAGTAGGTGATGATCGCTATCGCCCAGGTGGTTGAGAACTCGCAGCCCCCTCACCAAGTGGTCGCCTGTGGCCAGGACCAGGTCCAGCAAGGCATTTCCCCTGGTGGGACTGTGCACCTCCTGGGTTAGGTGGAGGTCCTGTATCTCGGCTAGGAACCTACGTGAGCGGTCAGACCTAGCTGACTGCTCCTCCCAGCAGATGTCTGGGTAGTTTAAGTCACCCATGATGACCACGTCCCTTGACTTAACTGCCTCCATGAGCTGACCTGAGAATTCCTGGTCCAGCTTTTCCCTGTTGGGGTGGTCTGCAGTAGACCCCCACCATTAAGTCCCTTTCCCCCCGACCCCCTTGTATTCTAGCCCAGAACACTTCAGTCTGCCCCTCCTCAGAGGTTGGTCCTGGGTAAGACCTAAAACTGTACCCTACTGGGGTGGGTTAGTGTGGTGGGGATGTCCATGACAGGGAAGCCTCCATGAAATGCTACACGTGGCCATCACAAGGACAGGCAAGTATGGGGAACCTGAAAGACTCAGCCCCCACTGCCTTGCGGGTCATCCTTTGGCAGGGGAAAAGCTAGGGGAGCACACCCCAAAAGAAAAGCAAGAGACGGAGGTTTCAGTGGGCCCAAAAGGATCCAGAGGCCCAGCAGGGGCCAGGAAACAGTAGGACCTGAATGAGACCAAGGGGGTCTGGTAGACCATAGAGTGACTGAGGAAGAGGGTCTGGTAGCCCAGGGTCAGGATCAGAGTGTACAGAAAGACCAATGGAGAGTGATGATGCATGCAAGGCTTGGGGGTGTGGTATAGGGGCAGAAGAGTCACAGAATTAGCCCATAAGGCACTAACCATAGACACTTGATGATCATTACAGTAAGATCAGGACAGGATAGTACTATGACACCACTGTTTTTACTGTAGAACACTGAAAATTCAACCTTAGAAAATGTCAGATTTAAGACTAAAATGACGTTTCAAAATATGAATCGTTATTAGATACGTTTAATCCTTCTATCATTATCATGATAAATAATTACCAAGGGGCATTTAAGCCATCCAATTCAAGAAAAGCAAACGCTTTGTTTAGGCACTTTTTAGAAGAGCACTACTCACTTACTTGACAAACTGAAAATAAACAAATCCAAAAATATAAAAATATCCTGTCAGTACTATACCTTTGTAAGAGCAGCAGTGTGATCTTCCCCACAACAGATATGAACAATTTTCTGAGATCTTAGTGATTTCAACAGAGTAGGAACATACCTGTCTGAAAGTTATAATAGAAATGTTGGGTCACTGTGATGTAAGTAAATTTAAAATATGTGTATTAAGCAACGAGAAAAGAGAATTAACAAACACTCTGCATTCAAATTTAATTTTCAAAATGACTGATCTTTTTAAACCTATTTATTACATTTCAGAACTCAAAATGAGAGCAAAATGCAAGAGAGGAGTAACTCAGAGTACCATACTGAAATCCTACAGTAAGAATTCATTTTCTCCCACTTTGGCAAAGGATGACAGTTCCCTAAAATACAAAGCACTAACTCAGGTACGTGATTTCAAAAGTCACAAAATACAAAGAAGCAGAATATCACACCTGTGGATGACAATGCAGAAAGGATATTATGAAAAATGTTTTGTTTTTAAGAAACACAACAAAGGTATAGCAGTACAATGAACTGTAATATTCCAGGTGTTACACACTGTTCATTCATAGCACTTTTAACAGAGAGGGGAAGGGAGTGTTTGCATGCAGATTTGAGAGATGGTTTCAGTTTCCCTTCAGAAGTGAGAGCAAAGCAGCGTTGTCATCTGGCTGCATAACTGAAGTTAACAAATATAAAAAGTATAATTAAATAAATTTGTTTGTGTACATGAAGAAGCTTTAAACATTTTCCTGACATCAAAAATATATATAATTATTGACGATGTGTGCTCAATAACAGCAGGGAACAAGGATTCTAAAGAAGAAAAGCTATGAAGAACATAAAGTTTAAAATAAAGCAATGTCTTCTTCTACCAGCTAAAATTCCTGGGAAATTTTGACCACACAGAACCAGTCTGAATCTTTCTAATTCTCTTATGAAAAGAGTTGGTGAACACAAGAATTATTAATTCAGAAACAAGCTTTAGTTGCATAGCATTTTTCTCAAGAAGTTTTTGATAATCATTCCTCCCCCTTCCTGACCTATATCCCATAACCAACACTACCATTCCCAGGATCACTGCCTTTTCACCCACTTGTGTCATTTCTTTACTTTACAACAAGATATTTGTGAGGAACTCTAGCAATTGAATTTCTGTATCCACATATTTATTTACACATCACAATTGTCTCTTAATTGTGTCTGTGCAGGTGCATACCAGGTCACCTTCATAACTAGAAGCCTACAACTTAAAATACCCAAAGATAAATATAATTAATATAATAAAAGGAAAGGACTGTTTGTTTAATCAGTTTGTACCTGAATGTTTACTTTTTTTTTTTTTTTTTTTTTTTAAAGACAGACCCAAACAAAGAAGAGTGAGGAGTTATTTCCTAAGAGGTACGAGTGGGAGAAAATAGAGACAGATATATATTGACAAGGAAACACAAAATTTGTTCGTATCTAATGAACATTGAGTAGATTGTATAAATTAAACTGAATCTCAGAACATGTGATTTACCTAAAGTTCCAGTTCTGAACAATTAAACAAATCATTTTGTCCAAACTTCAAAAAAAAAAAGTTTCTAAATATAGAGACTCAGAATCCAAAACATTTGTCAGTCATAACGAAAGTATTAAAGCACACCATCAGATCTTTTGACCATGAAACAGGAAAAAAAAACAAACCAAAAAACTATTACATCTTTTGTAAGAAACTAACATCAGTTTTCATGAGTGACATCTAACATAGGCCTTTTTTTTGATAGTCCTGTCTAATTTCCAGACAGTTATACTTGACCTCATTCTGGAATGGGATAAGCACAGTACAGGCAGTCCTCGACTTGCAACGTTTCAAGTTACAACGTTTCACATTTGCAATATTTATAACTTGACACCCTGTTTCAACTTTATGACATCAGTTTCGACTTTACAACTCTTGATCCGATGCAACACCATGCCAGTGAACAAGTTCGCTGCATTGCTCATCTCCGTGGAGAACATCTCTCCAAACTTCCTTGGACATTTTCTTTAAGAAAGTAGACAAGACTCCAGAAAAACGTGCAGCCAATACTCCTGAGAAGACTCCAGCCAAGAGCCCTTCAAAAAGTCCAACCAAGAGCCTTTCAAAAAGTCCAGCAAAGTCACCTCAAAGGAGTCCTTCCAAATCAATACGATTGCTATTTACAATATAAATACACTAATGTAGCTATATTACTCATCTATAATTGATCCAGTACAAAATTCTGGGGTATTTTTAGTGAAAATAGGGTATTGGGTCTTGGTTCAGGAACCAAGCCCCCATTTATAACATTGTTTCTTATGAGAAAATTGGTTTCAAGTTACAACGCTTCAACTCAAGATGTGGTTTTCAGGAACCAATTGTGTCGTAAGTCCAAGGACTGCCTGTATACACGTTTACCTTCCTACCACTCTCACCTAAGGTGTTAATTAGTCTTACTGAAGTCAGTAGGAGTTCTTACTCATTCAAATTTTAACAAGCATGCAAACATTCATTCAAGGTCTTTAGTCTAGATTTTATAATCCATGTTGGCTCTATAAGGAGAAAGCTGCCCTAGACTCTGAACTGCATTTTCAATTGATCCCAAAAGGCCCAAGATACGGTGAATATAAATTGGATACTGACCAAACCAGAAAGCCAAGTTGCTTATAAAACTCTGCTTTTCTGTTATATTAACAAGGACCCCAATCTGAAAATTATTCCAAACCACCAAAAAGAGACAAACACAAATTAAGATTCCTACTATAAAATGTTCCATTACCTTAATGACTACTTACCATTTTCATCATTAAGACCTAGTTGACCAAATTTGTTGCGTCCCCATCCAAAAATGGCTCCAGAAAGAGTTAGTACAAAACTATGTGCTCCACCTGCTGCAATTTGTGCAAAAGGGATTCCCAATAAAGATTTAATCAACTGTGGTGAAGTCTGCTTTTTAAATTCATAACCTAAACCTAGTTGACCATATTTATTCTGTCCCCAGGAAAAAACTTCACTTCCTGTTAAATAAAAAAAACATATAAATTAAAAATGAGAAAGGATGAATACACTTCAACCATAGGCAAAAATAAACTTACTTACTTTAACAAAAAATGATCAACCTGTAAAAAATTAAACAGATGCACTACCTCTACAGAAAGTTTAGAAAAAATAATCTCAGCAGTTTGGCAATTTATTCCTCTTTGTTCTTTCAAAGCCAAAAAAGCGATTGCAAATTTAAGGCTGACATCAAACCTAGTCATCTGACAAATTTGAAAATAATATTCATCAGTTCAAAACCTCCAAGCCTGTACTTAACATATTCATATTAGAAATGCCAGCTATCTATTAGCATTACCAATTCAACTGAAAACAGTATATTAAGTAATTTCATAACAATAAATGTACACACAATGAATTTGTGCAGTTACCTTGGAGTAAGGTTAATAGTTATGCTACTGAAATAATTCTTTCAAGCCTGAGCTATCATTCTGTAACTTATCCTATCACTCCACAATAGGTGGCTACTTATTGGTTAAAGTAGCAGCCAGCCATCTTTACAAAACATGAACGGGAACACCTCAGCTGCCATCTGACAGGCTGGGGGGCTTCAGCAGCATTTCAGTGATGGGAGGCTTTGCCTGCATCCATGCCAGGGCCAAGCAGGTGGAAGCCGCGCCTGCTCTGCTGCTGCTTCTTTCTTTTCTCCTACTGCAACACACGGGCAACTCCCAGAGAAACTGCATCAGTGCTGCCACTTCCTCCCACTCATCACCACCCCTCAGCCTGCCACCCCCTGGTCTCCTGGCTGCTGGGTGGGTACAGCTGGAAGCTGCACGGTCCTGGCACAGCTCCCCACTGTCTGGAAGCTATGCCCACACCACAACTGAATGAGTGCGTGTTGTGGGAGGGGAGCAAGGGAAGAGGTGAGAACAGCAACATCGCAAACTCAGCTTCCAATTACCCAGCCACAGTGCGGGCACAAGCAAAGTCCTCTGACTTCACGGGCCATATCCACTGGATCCACAGGCCAGATCTGGCCCACGGACTGAACTTTGTCAACTCTTAAGTTAAAAGGAAAGTCTTTATCAAATAAGGCCTTGGACCTTTTCAGAAGTATCAGCATTTTAAGCATGACACTATTATTCAGAGAAATAATTTTTGCTCCTGTTTATTGGTTCACAGGTGCTATACTGATATATGATCATGTCATCGTTTTGCCTACAGTAGGAAGGTTCTACAAAAATCTCACTATTGCTAACAAAAATTCATGTGTTACATCAATGTTAGCAATGTTACAAAGCTGCAACCTAGAGGGGCCACTGCCATTTAGACTAGATTATCAGCCCCAGTCTAAGCAAATTTAAGGTGACATTGCATAGAACAGTAGGGGTCCATGTACATTCCCAGTGTTACTAATACTAATGAGCTTAAAAGCTACATTAGTAATGTCAACATTTGCAACATGTTTTACTGTAGGTAAGTCACTTGTGTCAACCCCTTTATGAAATTTTCTGTGAAAATGAATAGTTCTGAGTCGGGGCAGGCAAAATATGGCCCATGGGCCCGACCCAGCCCACCAGGCCATTCTATCTGGCCCACAGGGCCCCTAAAAAATTTAGAACATTAATATTTATCTGCTCCAGGCTGCCTGTTGAAGATGATATGAGCATCTGTCTGCATACTGATGCAGCACCACATGGCTCCCAGCTGCATCACCAGACTGCGGGAGCACGGGGCCTTTGCCAGTACCCCAGAGCGTGGATATGAGTTTTTGTAAGGCGAGTCCCACATACACATATGCCCTCCCTCACATTGCCATACACATAGACCTCCACACCTACACCCCACAGCCACCCTCCCCCCACACAGCCCCCCACAAACCACATACCAACCACACCTCACATATCCACACACACACACACACACACACACACACACACTCACATGCTCCCTCACCCCACATACCTACCTATCCCCGACAGACACACCCACATCCTCCCCTACACCACATATACCCACACACCCACAGCCTCCCACAAACCTATACTCCAAACAATATACAAAAGTAAAACTTCATTTTAAGCTATTGTACAATCTACCTCTACCTACACTACCTACACTATGGAAACGCATGTAAATCAGGACAATATTTTTTGAAATCAAATTAATGGATGTTGTATATGTTCACTTTTTAGAATATAATTTGGTATTTTTCTGGTTCCAAGATGGCAAAACCCCTTGCTGAAAAGAGAATTTCCAGGGGCAAGGAGAGGGACTTCTGGTGACAAAGGTCAGAGGTTAGGGGGTGGGCCTTCTGGTCACAAGACTGCGACCAGGGGGTGGGGCACCTATCAAGGGGCAAGGCTACCCATGCGGCCCTCAACAGCTTGCCAAAACTTGGTAAGCAGCCTTCCACCCAAAATAATTGCCTGCCCCTGTTCTAAGTAAATCAATTCTCATTGCTATAACTGTGTGGACTGGAAATTGACTTTTAATTTACATAAATAAAAGCTCAAATAAAAAATGTGCTTATGTCAAACTGCTGAATCCAATATACACTCAAAAAAACTACTTAATCAAATTTCAATAAACCTTGATTCAAGGAAGTTTATTAGCTTGGTAATGAAAAACAATAACTAACTTAAGGTAGAGGTCAACAATGGTTTGGGCTGGAGTGCCAAAAACACCCCAGCCTCAACACATGCCTTAACTTGGCATGCCAGGGACAGAAATGGGGGTTGGGGGGCGCGGAGCTGTGAGGGGTCCAATCCTTGTTGCTGGTGACGGGTGTATGGACACCTCCAAGCAGAAGGTGATGTAGGCCCTGGCCCTTTCCCCACCATGCACCCCGAGGTGCACGTGCAGCCACTGCTGGCCTTGGAGCCTGGGCTCACAGCAGGAAGCAAACAGGCTGCGAACAGCTGCACCGGGGTTCAGAACCCCACCCCCATTCCCTGGCCAGTGGTGGCTGCTGCACGCATGCCTCAGTGCGCACAACAGGGAAAGGGCCATGGCAGCGAAACTGCAGCCCCTCCCCTACCAGCAGCATGCCGGGCAGGGGCTGTGCAGACCTCAGTTCAGTGGCTTGCATCCTCCCACCTGCCTGCCACAGCTGGCCTGGGCTCTGGGCAGGCCCCTGCTGCCATCCCTGGAGCCTTGGCTGCTCACAGCAGGCAGCAGGGAGGCTCTAAACAGCTGCACTGAGGTTGGCTGACTCATTGCTAGCAGCAGCTGCACATGCATCTCCGGATGGAAAGCCAGGCAAGAGCCAGGGTTGCACTGCCTCTTCCCTGCCATGCGCCTTTAGGAGTGAGTGCAGCCACTGCCAATGCTGGGACTCCAGAGCCCGGTGCAGCTGTTTCCAACCTCTCGGCTGCCTGCCACATCCGGCCAGAGCTATGGGCAGTTACTCCTAGCCACAGAGCCCAGGCTGCCTGCTGCGAGCAGCCTCCCGGCTGCTTGCTGAGAGCAGCCTCAGCTCCGTGGCCGACAGCACCTTTCCAGAGCCTGGGCCAGCTGTGGTGTGCCAAGCAAAATGGCTTCATGTCCCATGCTCTGGCATGTGCTGGGGGTTGCACATCCCTGACTTAGGATAAAATCTAGATAAAGTCCCCTACTGCAAAGAAAAGCAAATCGCCAAGAATCTTACAAATCACTGAACAAGAGCTGTCCTTGTATAGGCTTACAAATTTCACCTAAGCAAATTTAAGGCCGGTTTTGAAATCTTAATCAGTGGTAAATTATGTTTGAAAACCGGTGCTACTTGAATCAATTCAACAGTGTTTTAAGCCACGCCAAATCCTAAATTTCCCATCTCTTCAACATTCCATCTGCTTGCCTAATTTCTTTCTTGGCCTATAACAACCTTGTAGGTCCTGAAGGTGAGTCCAGGATTTCTGCCATTAGAACAAGATGCAACCTAGCCAACTCAAGCAACTATAACATCCTGGCCCATAAAAAACCTACTAGACATAAACCAATCAGCAGAAATCCCCTGCTGTTGATGCAAATTGGTCTGTGGAGAGTTTAGGACTTGGAATGTTTCACTATTTAGTACTGTACTCTCTTTCATAAAGCCAAGGTAGCCCACTCCACCAGCATTCCAGCTAAATAACCCATGTTGTCCTATTCATATTCATGTAGAGAATTAAAAATACATATCTACCCTGACTCCCTGTTCAAATACAAGCCAGGTAAAATGGCAAAAGTACTGAGGGCTGATTTGGCACTTGAAATGTACTCCTTATAAAAAACTATTTGGACTTCAGGTTAACAGAATACTATTCAAGTGGTGTCAATGACCAAAGTTTTCTGCTAAAAATGTCATCTTTTGGTGTTATACTGTTCAATTAGTTTCATAGTTTCTAGGGTCGGAAGGGACCTGGGCAGATCTAGTCCGACCCCCTGCCATGGCAGGAAAGAGTACTGGGGTCAAACGACCCCAGCAAGATGGTCATCTAACCTCCTC